AAGAGACTATTATTCTCCTTGCTTGACTCTCTTTGAGAATATTGTGTATATTAGATAGAATCAATTACATAGATATTATTTATTTGTAGTTATGTCTTTCCTAATTTTGACTAGATGTCTGTATAAACACTCAATTGCTCAGTGACTTGGCAAGTACAAGTTTAATTTGAATATTTGTGTTTCATCCTTCTACAACTATATCAAATAAAAATCAGACTAAATTTAGGCCAAATGTTAGTACTGTAAGTTATTCCATTGAGAAAGCTCAAGCATTTAGGAGCTAGGGTTGAGTGGCTTGGTGAATGATCATGCAGAATGTGGTGGATAATCTTTCTTGTCAAGCACCAGATTTCAAGTGTCAGGTTCTTGGCTTTTCCCTAACTGCTAATATGAGTACTTGTGATAGAACCCGGTTCTCAATTGGGGCAAAGACCATATGCTGATATGCTCATTGACCCATGGGAGTATTACCTCTCCTGCTGACTCTTTTAGGGATGTAGTGAGATATCTAGGAGGCAGGGACTATATATTGGTTTCCACTTTCCGTTATGTGTTTGTCAGTTACGCTTAAATTTGATCTACTTGATGCTATGAGGTCACATGATGCAGGTGGGTAAGCAGCGTTCTGGAAGCATTAGAAGTTTACGAGCAAGTTCAAAAGGTCTAAAGATTCGTGCAGTGTGGCTCCTGGTATTTTCTGGTAAAAAAGGTTTTCCAAGTTCATATTATTCATCACAGGCCATAACACAAAGACAGACATGTTTAAAATGATTGATGTGCATGTCTCTCTAATATAGTTTATATATGTTACTTACAGTAATAGCTGCATCTTCACACCTCGGCTAAGAGGACTCTGGTTCCACTCCATTGGCATCTTTGCTATGACAAAGCTGATTAAGAGCTTTTCATACTTGCAGCTTCAACACTGTGAAGTATTTTGAGATCTGTGTCATTTCTGTGTAGAAGCGTAGAAGTGTAGGATCTAATTAACACAGCTTATGAGGAGACAGTTTTTGTCGTGCGGAGGTGTTCCCCACTTGTCTAGCCAACATTTTTTGTGAGGTAAGGCTGTCTTCCTAGCATAGGATCTTTCCACTGTAATTGTTCCATATGTAGATATATCCCCTTATTTTCGCTTTATATTTTCTGTAATATTTACATGGCTTGAAGCTTATTGTCTTCAGAATTGACAAAAGCCGGTCTCCTCCCGGTTCATACTCCCAACACAAATTTCCTCAAAGAGAGACATCAAGGCTAAATGTATTTATCTAATAGTAGCCATATTCCTTATAGTGCATAATGTGTTGATTTTTGTGTTCTTAATATACTTCTATTACTGAAATCCCATGCTCCATTTGAACTATCTGCATGGAATGTGGTGGCAGCTCATAGTTTTGCACCATAGTAACATAAACAGCTATATGGAGGGAGAGCTAACTCATCCAAACATCTTATGTTATTGATGTCTCGGTTCTTTTTATGGTTCAGATCCTAAATAATATGGGATTAAAATTGACCAACCCACATATTCACCTGCTGCATAATGCTTTGAAGTTTTTAAACAATTGTTGTTTGCTCCCATTTTTCTGAAGCTACATAGATTGAGAATTTTGCCTTTGCAACGAATAAATCATGGCGAGTATCACGCCAAAGGGTGTGGTCCAGTGGCAAATGAATTGGCTTGAGAACAATGAGGTCTCAAGTTCAATGTCTTATTTTTGGTGGACAGAGTTATCTGATACCTATAATTGTGTATCTGTGGAATTAGTCGAGGTGTGTGTGTAAGTTAATCGATACTTGTTGCTGGTGGGCGGCAACACATATCTGTGGAACTAGTCAAGGTGTGAAAGCCGGCCTACACCATTTGTTATTTAAAAATAATAAAAATTATTGCTAGTACTGCACGCTCTAATAAAATTAACAGTAGTGTGTTAATATAATTTATTCTTTGTAGGCTGAAATTCTTCTTGAGCTAGAATTGGGTTACTTTAGTTGTTGGTGGGGTGGGAGAGTGTGAGATTTGTTTAGTTCCAAATTGCTCTAATTCCGACCTCACTTACTGTGAATATTATATTTGGTAATTAGTTGAAATTATATAAAATGATAATTAGGGGTACTACTAAGTACTATGTCATATGGTGAAGCATCCTCCTTCAAAGCACGAGGGTTAAATTTTTTTGTTCTCAATGTTGATTCAGACATAGGGTGTGTTTGATATGAAGGAAAATATTTTTCGGAAAATGTTTTTTAATTTTTTATGTTTGGTTGGGTAAAATGTTTTCCAAATCAACTCATTTTCCTTGAATTCAAGGAAAATGACTTTCCTTCAAAACTTAAGGAAAACATTTTTCAAAACTTTTCTCCAACTTCAAAGTATAGTTTTTTTGTTGAAAAAATAAATTTAAAGCTTATTTTTAAAAAATAATTTTCAAATTCAATTTTTTTATTTTTTTACCCACCCTCACCCCAACCCCC